AGAGAGAGAGAGAGAATTTTTAATATTTATTTTTTAGTTCTCGGCGGACACAACATCTTTGTTGGTATGTGGTGCTGAGGATCGAACCCGGGCCGAACGCATGCCAGGCGAGCGCGCTACCGCTGAGCCACATCTCCAGCCCAGTGATAAACCAATACTAAAGATTAAACTACAGTCACCCATTTACTCTCAAATTCACTCAACCTGGAGAAGAAAACTGCTTTTCCAACTCAGCAGTACAGAGGGTGAGAGAGGACAAAGAACCCTATCTCCCCACTCCTTCACCAGCAGGGCTCCACAAAGGCCACATTTACCTTCCGCACTTTGCCTGGTGTGTTGGGAGCCAGTACTCGCCGCTTGCTAGGTGTCCGGGGAGCACTGCCATAGAGCATCTCTGCCTCTGTTTGCTTCTTGTTCTTTAGTTGCTGTGTGAAAGTCAGAAGCAACAGTGATGAATCCCAGTAAGAAGTGGTTTTAGGATGGGAACAGAAGCAGGGCTAGAAGTATAGAGCCAGGTCTGCAGCCTGAGTTAAAAGGAGCTGTTACAGACTACCTAATTCTTCCAAGAGATCTGACAGACATGCTACGATGCATAAACTATCTTCCTGTTTTCCCAATTTGTGTGTACACTTACTCTTTCCTGCTTGGCTCTCTCTTTCTCCAATCGATGCATCTCCCATTGTTCTGCCACATACTCCATGAATTTCTGCCCATTCACCTCAAATGTTTTTGACTGCTCCTGTTCCCACATTTCAATCCGTGCCTTCAACTCTTCTTCCAGCTGAGACCAGAAACAAGGACATGTTAGTTACTTTTAATCTTTGGGGTTGAAGCCCAAATGAAACGATTATCTTAAAGATTGACTACTGGGGCTGGGGATGTGGCTCAAGCGGTAGCGCGCTCGCCTGGCATGCGTGCGGCCCGGGTTCGATCCTTCAGCACCACATACAAACAAAGATGTTGTGTCCGCCAATAACTAAAAAATAAATAAATATTAAAAAAAAAAAAAAAAAAAGATTGACTACTTAAGCTGGGTGCAATGGCACATGACTGTAATCCCAGCTACTCAGAAGAATGAGGCAGGAGGATTTCAAGTTCAAGATGAGCTTAGGCAACTTAGCAGAATCCTATCTCAAAGTGAAAAAGGTTTGGGTGTAGCTCAGTGGTTCAATCCCCAGTGCTACCACCACTGGGCAAAAAAAAAAAAAAACAATGATTTTTTTCCCTTTCCACAGCATTAGCATTCTAACTTCAGGGAGCTAGACCCATGGGGCTTCAGGTCAGAGTGACCAGAGATGGTTCATTTACAACACACAGAAAAGTAGAAGAAGGCAAGAACCCATAGTCTGAATACTGACATTTTGATGCCTGAAGCTGGAAATAGCATCAGTAAAATCAGTAACATTAACCAGACAGTGATTAATGTAAGCATAAGCATAAGCATGACTATGGAACCAGATTATCTGGGTTTCAGTCTGGACTCTTCCTCTTACTAGCTGTGAAAAGGGCAAGTTACCCCTTATTATCTGTAAAAACAATATCAACCTAAAGGGATATTGTCATATATATGAATAAATGAAAACATCTTGAAATAGTAACAACTCAAAAAAAATGTGAAACATTACTATTATTAACATAGAAAATAAAGCCCACAGTACTTTCTCAAAAGCTTGCCTATATTATGGGCTAAAATGTTGCCCAAAATTCATTTTGAAGTCCTAACCCCCAACACCTCAGAATGTAAGTGTTATCTGGATGGTCTTTTAAAAAAAGTAGTCCAGGGCTGGGCGTATAGCTCAGTTGGTAGAGTGCTTGCATCATAAGCACAAGGCTCTGGGTTCAATCCCTACCACCACCAAAAAAAAGGGTAGTTGAGTTAAAATGAGGTCATTAGGGTGGGCCCTAATTCAATCACTGATGTAAATTAGGACACAAAGACACAGAGGAAAGGTTATGTGAAGATCCAATCATAATCTGTCATCTATAAGACAAGCAGAGGCCTCAGAAGAAATCCAGCCCTGCCAATGACATCTTGAATCTCAGACTACTGGCTTCAAGAATTGTGAGAAAGTAAATTTCTGTAGTATAAGCCACCTAATTTGTAGTCTTTAATTTGGCGGTTCCAGCAGACTACACCTTGGTGTTCGGTGGCTCTTTGCTTACACTGAAGGCCCAATGCATAAACTTTGGAAGAGAAGACATTTCTGGGGCAAATTAATACAAAGCAAAGGACATACAAAAAATTAAAATATCTCAAGAGCCAAGTGCCAAAAACTCTTAGCAACAATATTACCTTAGGGAGTGTTTTCTGGAGCTTGGCTCGCTGCTTTTCTTCTTTTAGAAGGTTTCCTCCTCGGTTTACAAATCGACTTGGATCTGAAGCTTTTCTCTGTGAAAAATACATTTTATTTAATGATAGTATAACCTAGGATAGTCAGACCAATTATTCCTCCTAAGCCCTTATAACATAATGTATATTATTAAATTGACCTGTAGAGTTTCACATTCTTGTCCACATTTAGTCATTAGAAATGATGGCATTTTAAGCCATGGGCACTCCTGGGCATATGCAAGATCATCAACTGGGGGTAGGAAAACTACAAGCTTCCTTCAATCTAAAAAACAACAGATAAATATAACAGTGACTATAGGAAGCCATCCGGAAATGACGAGGACCTTTTTTTTAGCATTGCAACCGATGAGGGGGTAGATCTGGCACTGGGAGCTTCACATGGCAGACGCACGGGGATAGATCACCCGAAGCGAGTGAACTCCCCTTCTCTACCAGAAAGGTCCCTCGCAGCACCTATGGGCATAACCCACTAGGAACTGATCAGCTTTCTTGCCCCCACCTCTTTCCTGTTTTGGTGAAGAACTTTCTTTTTTTTTTTTTTTTTTAAGAAAGAGTGAGGGGGGGGGTGGAGAGAGAGAGAGAGAGAGAGAGAATTTTTAATATTTATTTTTTAGTTCTCGGCGGACACAACATCTTTGTTGGTATGTGGTGCTGAGGATCGAACCCAGGCCGCACGCATACCAGGCGAGCACGCTACCGCTTGAGCCACATCCCCAGCCCCTGTTTTGGTGAAGAACTTTCTATCGAAAGCCTTTGATGTTTTCCAATATAAATAAAGCAAATGTGGGCTCCTTTCTTTGTTAGAAGCTGGACCCATCTAGTTAGCTTTGTCTGTGTCTACCCCCTCATTGAAACTACTTTCTGTGTTCTGTGGTCATTTCGCTATTCTAGCTTTTATTTTTCAGCCAGCCCATCCCACCCAAGGGAAACCCATTCGCTAGCCCATGCAAGATGTGGGCAAGAAATGCCACTAGTTCCCTTCCTTGGTTTGGATTATCAGATGATGTTATATTAAAATACAAGGTGAGGAGGGATGGGCAGGCCTAAACTCAGGGCTTATTGTGATGCCTCTGCTTGAGCTTGTATTTCTAGCATACTGGCACAGAATGCAGCTTAAATGCACGTAGCCAGGAAATTTGCAGATAATCTGGGTTTCACTAAATTAACCTTCACAAGATAAACAAAAATTTAGAGGGCTGGGGTGTAGTTCAATGGCAATGCGTGAGGTCCTGGGTTCAATCCTTGGGCCTCAGTAAATAAGTGTGAAATGAGAAGCTCTGGGTTCACATTCCAACACTGCCCTCCCCCCCAAAAAGTTTTTCTTGCCTGTAATCCCAGCAGCTCAGGAGGCTGAGACAGGAGGATCCCAAGTCCAAAGCCAACCTCCGCAATGGCAAGGCACTAAGCAACTCAATGAGATCCTGTCTCTAATAAAATACAAAGTTGGACTGGGGATTTCCTCAGTGTTGACTGCCCCCGAGTTTAAAAAAAAAAAAAAAAAAAAAAAGTTTCTCATTTTTCTTAAATGTCTGGCTTTTGTTATTTTATAACGTATACACAGTAATTTTGAGTATATAACTAGTCATTATAAATTGGGGGAATTACTGCTGGGCAGTGGTGCAAGCCTGTAATCCCAGCAGCTCAGGAGGCTTAGGCAGGAGGATCATTAGTTCAAAGCCAGCCTCAGCAAAACTGAGGCACTAAGCAACGCAATGAGAGTCTGTCTCTAAATAAAAGTAGGGCTGGGGATGTGGCTCACTGGTTCAATCCTGAGTTCAATCCCCGGTACCAAAAAATAAATTAAAATTTTTAGGGGCTGGGGTTGTGGCTCAGCGGTAGAGTGCTAGCCTAGCACGTGTGAGGCCTTGGGTTAGATCCTCAGCACCACATAAAAATAAATAAATAAAATAAAGGTATTGGGTCCAACTATAACTAAATAAATTAAAAAATAAATATTTAAAAATAAAAAATGAAATAAAATTTTAAATCAGGGGAATTACTTAAAGAATGGTGCAGATAACTAGAAGCATTCTTGATAATACGTAGACCAAACTATTTCTCTTCAAGAGTGCTTGACAGGTCATAACTTATTAACAACAATAGCATGGCATAAGTAACTCCTTTATTTTTCTCACGTGTGGTGAGTTACACAAGGCTACTGCTTTAGCTATGTTCATATTTACTCCTCCTCCTCCTCCTGGTTTTCACCCAGAAAGTCTTGCCAGGTTCTCTCCATCTGAGTCCTAGTTTCCTGCCTATAAACTTGAAACTTGAAAGAGTTCAGCTTAAAAGTCTACAGACCCTTATGAATGCTAATAGAGTCAGCATGAACCTAATAACAATTTTCTCCTTAAATTTTGTGCTGTTGGTGCTTCATTTCTCTCACCCCAATCCCAGCCCTGAATTCTAAAATGCTGTTTGTGCTATCTGTGAGAAGGAATTCAGAGAATACAAATTCATTCTGATATCTAGTTTTCTAGGAAAACAGCAAAAGTAGCAATAGTAGAGAAGTTAGTTGACTTCCTTAGTAAGAGAACCAGAATTTGCCTGGGACAGCATTACTCAGACTTACTTAAACACAAGTGAAGAGAGACTGGGAGGAGCCCTTAATTCAGGGTCAAGAGGGTAATGCCACCTTTGTTCTTTCTCTACCAGGCTGCCTGAAATGTGGCCTTTCAGGTGGGAGCTCTAGCAACCAGTTTGGCCCTGAGGACGAGGTCCTCACTTAGTGGTGGGGAGCCCAGAGCTGGAGAAGCCTGCTCTATCGACATCTGGGCTTCCTTCAAGCAAGAAACTTCTATCTTCTTTAAGCCATTAATTTATAGGACATTAGAAACCTGGTAACTGGGCTTGCTTGCTATTTTTCCCCCAAAGCTGGGGATTGAACCCAGGGTCATATCTATGCTAGGCAAGCATTCGCTCACTGAGCCATATCTCCAATGCAGGGCATGTTTTCTCAACCCTTCATTTCACTCTTAAGAAAGCAGACAAGTAGCCAGGCACCATGGCACATGCCTGTAATCCCAGAAGCTTGGGAGGCAGAGGTAGCAGGATTGAAAGTTCAAAGCCAACCTCAGCAACAGTGAGGTGCTAAGCAATGCAGCAAGACCCTGTCTCTAAGTAAAATACAAAAATGGCTAGAGATGTGGCTCAGTGGTCGAATGCCCACTCCTGAGTTCAATCCCTAGTACCAAATTAAAGCAGGGGCTGGGATGGTGGCTCAGCAGTAGAGCGCTCCCCTAGCATGGGCAGGACCTGAATTCAATCCTCAGCACCACATAAAAAATAAAGGCATTGTAGGATCCAACATGGCGGCCGGCGAGGAAGCAGCGACTCCAACGTCTCCACTTTAACGGGATATGAAAGACTCATCGAAACAGCTGCAGCCTAGCTACGGAGGAACTTCTAGCATAACTTCCTTAAGAGGAGAGCTGCCGTGAACTGGTAGGTTTACTCGAAGTGACAGGTTGCCCCAGAGAAGTGGATCTTGGAAGGCCACGCGGGCACAGAGGTCTAGTCCCCCAACCATCAGCCGCTCCGGCAGGCG